TGGCAGCTCGCAAATATTCAAGCCCCATTTAAACTAATGGTGCGCATGGGCATGGCCACAGTATAGCCCTTGTCCGTCCCCACAAGAGCGAGACTGCGGACTCCAAGTCCGCGAATGGGAAGGGACAACCGTACTTGCATTTGCATGCTTTTGAATTACTAGGTTGGCAGAAGCTGGGACTAGTGACAGGAGCTCAATCCATCATGCGGCACTTGGATCTCAAACTGCCAACTTTCTGATCTTCCAGTCATCAGAATTGGCATCTTAACCACTAAGCCACCGAGAGGTTGACCATAGAGTAGTGCTGGAGAACCTAGACGTTCTTCATGAAAATGCTTCTCTAGGCATTTGTAGGTTCTCCAACATGGTTCTAGGATCAACTTCTGGCAGATGTTGGCCATACCGTTGCACTGGAAGACCTAGAGATCCCTAGAGAGGTGTTCTCTCAGGTAAAAATGATAGTCTTTTTTTATCTGTGGTTTTTCCACATTCACGGGGGTCCTTCACCCCTAACCCCAGCGAATGCGGAGGGACCGCTATAATTTGATTTCTGTCCTGCCTTTCTCCCCAAAACAGGGGCTCAAGGGAATTTACAACAAGATTACAATGGGATGTAAATGAACACACACACACTCCATTAAAATGAATTTAAACAGAGAGACTTCTCCTTACCTTGCGGGCCTGGAAACCCATTTTCGGGCCAGCCGTATGGGTGCCCATCGATGCCGAGCAAAGTGTACTCCTGCTCCATCCCAAACCAAGGGTGGCTGTCTTTCACCATGTCCATGACCTTCTTACAGGTGTTCCTCAAGTTGGTTTCTGTGGGAAAGGAGAGCTTTTGAGCATCCCTGTCTTTCTTTGACGGTAAATCCGCAGCATGCAATTATAATAGTTGGACGCTAGATTTATCATTTGGGGAAGTACGGAGAATTTTCCGCTAGTGTTTTTCCTCTGGCATTCACTGATCAGGCTACGAATCCCAGAATTGCATAGGACAGCGCTTCTAGAACAATTGGATGTAGCAGGCCAGCAAGGTCCCCTAGTGTGCCAGGGATTTGGCACCCCATTTGTGCCCTTTTGGAGGACATGGTTTCGAGACCTTTCAGCATTTGGAGGTGACCAAAATGGCAAAACACCGGGAAGCCACCAAACCCTGCGAGGAATGGTTTAGGAAGCTGGGTATATTTAGCCTGGAGAAGAGGAGGTTAAGAGGGGATATGATGGCCCAGTTTAAATATTTGAAGGGATGTCATGTTGAGGATGGAGCAAGCTTGTTTTCTGCTGCTCCAGAGAATAGGACACAGAGCAATGGATGGAAGCTACAGGAAAAGAGATTCAACCTCAACATTAGGAGGAACTTCCTGACGGTAAGAGCAGTTTGACAGTGGATTCAGAGTGTGTTGGAGTCTCCTTTTTTGAAGGTTTTGACAGAGTCTGGATGGCCATCAGTTGGGGGTGCTTTGATTGGGAATTCCTGCATGGCAGATTGAGGTTGGACTGGATGACCCTGGGGGGGGGGTCTCTTCCAACTCTGATCCAAGATGGAACAAAGCCTTCAGTTCCAATGTTATTGTTCTATCATTCCAAAAACTGTGTGGAATCCAGTCCATGTGAACTCTGGATTTCAGAATGTAAGTAACAAGACTTCCTTTTTCGGATGGAGAGTTTAAAATCCAGCGATGTAAAAAGTGTTTAAATAATGTATGTGTACCTATGTCTCTATATGTATATTTACACTCATGCCTGTATGTGTGCTCTGACTTTTGTGAATGCACAGGTCTTGAAAGATTTAATCCAATGATTCCTCACTTCATGGAGACCTTTCACTGTAAAAAGGCATTTTTTTATCTATTGTTGTTATTATTATTATTATTACTATTACTATTAAAAAACATATTAATACAAAGGAGGCAACAAATTAAAACATCAAATAATAATCATGCAATGCCTGATTATCCTTGACTATCCTTCACGGTTTCAACAGATTTAAACCTTTTAATATATTTTATTACACATTTGTATTATATATTGTAAGCTGCCTTGGATCTCATATTGGGGGAAATGCAAGATATAAATATGGGATATAAGGCAGACTATAATACATAGTGCAAACATTTTTTAAATATATTAAATAAACAGCTCAATTAAAACATTTAAATCTGTAAAAACCATGAAGGATAGTCAAGATATAAAAAATACAACACAACCCATTAGAAGATCCCCTGATCTAGAAACTGGATCTCCCAACTCTAAGCCCAATGCTTCAAGCACTACACCATACAAATGCTCCACAATGGCAAGCAGTTGTCAAAAAGGTCTACCGCATCCCAGGAGTTGGCCAATATCTCTCCTTCCACAAGCAACACACAGAAGGATCACAATAGTGTGTATGTGTGTCTGAAGAGAAGGAAAGGGGGCATGAAGGAAAAGTGCGAAAAGGGAGACTCACCTGCTTTCTTGCGGTTGTATTTCAAAACCTCGCACAACACAAGCTTGTTGGGATCCAGACAGAAAGGGTCTCTGAACATCTTAACAGGGACTAAGAACATATCGCTATTGGAGCCTTCAGATTGTCCGGTGCTGGATCCATCGAAGTTCCATTCGGGGAGATCTAAAGAAAGATATTAGAGGAGACATTTGATCCACAAGATTTATCACCTGCCTTATAACCAAATGAATCTCAAGGGAGCTTGAGAGCAACATGGAATAACAACACAAGGTATGTGCTTCTGCCTTCAGGTTGCCTGTCGACTTACGGTAATGCCATGAATTCCATAGGGTTTCCATAGGCAAGACATACTCAAGAGGTGGTTTTGCCATCCCCTTCCTCTGAATTATAGCCTACAGCACCTGGTATTGCTTGGCAGTCTCCCATTCAAGTATTAACCTGAGTTGATCCAGCTTAGCTTCCAAGATCAGACAGAAAAGCGTGCCCTTTCTGAAACCTTGGGCATCAAGAATACTGAGCTAGATCAACCACTCTATATATGACAGGTTTGGATCTATGGCAGGGCCAGATTAATCCAGAGTATCTTTTGACAATTTTTTGTTGTTGTTAACTGCCCTTG